CATCATACGTGCTTCGAGCCGCAAAAGAATCTTATAAGAACCATAGACGATTTTGGAGAAATTGAAATTGCAATACAATCTTTGTTGAATAATTTTATAAAAAATAAATTGAAATTATATGTGAAACTAAGAGAAGTGTAGTATATACATAATGTCAATTTATATTTTTTTATTTATTTAAATTATATACATATATTAATTATATATAATTATAAATATATATAAACTTCTTCAGTTTATATTAGGTATTTTATATGTATATTTTTTAATGTGTAATGATCTGATTTCAGAATTACATTGTTTTCAATTATGCCCAACTTTTTAAAATGAAACTCTAATAATAGCTCTAAGATTTGTATTATGATGGTCAATGTTTAAACAAATATTCCAATTCAGCTCGAATACTTAAATGATTATTTGAGTTTTACTTATTATACTTGATTCGTGTTATAATGCAGGTTCAGCCTAAATGCAGAAACGAATTTAATACTTTTGTTCACTGCATTTATCGATGCAACTATGTATATTACTTGTTAGGATGAAAATATATATCGCTCACCATTTGCTACATCAACACAACTTAAAAAATGTTATTTTTTAATTGCTTACAGAAAAAACGGAAATATAAAAAAAAGGAATTTATTTAAAAAAAAAAGTTTTACTCTACAATAAAATTATCAAAATTGCATTTCAAAATTTCAATGATTTAGAACATTGAAACCCTCACATTTTTTTCAGTTGTGTCCGTGTTGTAGCAAATAAGAAATATATACCTCATAGTAAGTATTATGAAGTAAATATAGTACGTGATATATTATGTACGTATATATAGTATATACATAATAGAATATATTATGTAAGTAATATAGCACGTTTCTTGCTAATAATTAATTTTATTAGTATTGGTATTTTTATCATTATACATAATATAACATTAAAGTATATTATATATTAATTATCTAATAGAATAATGTTAGAATAGCATACATGTATACCTCAGTATATTATATGAAACTATAAAATTATATTTGAGGTAAGCTTCACGTGAAAATTTACGAATATATATTTTTGTAAACGATAACTTTTACATATTTGATAGAATCAGTTTTGGAATCATCTTTACAAACTTCATGCTTAGAACCTTCGCCATCTTTTGGTGTCAATTATACACGTTCTTGCTCTGTATTATAAAACATTTACGACACAGTTGTACAGCAAACTATAAAAATTATGTATAGTAACTTTAAGATGAAAAAGTATGCGCACACGTGATTGTATGAAAATGTAAATAATTAACCAAAGTGCAACGAAATATATAGGAAGGAATAAATTTTAAAACACGAGTTATTAATGGAGGTATCACGATTAACAAGATTAAATTATTTTTCGTCGGTGATGCCGATGGTCGGCCGAAGAACTGGACCCCAGGGAAAAATGAAAAAGATCACTCGAGTATGGATCGATTAATGACGTTGAATGTTGATGTCAAATTCGAGACGCCTGAAGAACACTTTTTAAAACGTAAAGCACCACCTTATGAGTTACCTAAGTTTAATCCAAAAAATTTATCGCAAACCGACATATGCAAACCTGCGGACGCGGAATTAACACTCAAACAGCAAGAGGTAATAATACACTTTTGATGTCAATTTTTACATTTAAAGTTTTTTTAAACATTAAACATTGAGAAATTTAAAAAGTGATTATTTAATTAAAATTATGATTAAAATTATGATATAATTTGCAATAAAATTTCATTTTATACGTATTTTATTCTTTCCTTAACAGATGATACTTATGGTCGGCAGCCCGGGCTCCGGAAAATCACATTTTACAAAGAATCATTTAAAGGAATACGGATATGTCAACAGAGATACTTTAGGCAGCTGGCAGAAGTGTATTGCTGCAGTCCAACAATATTTGAATGAAAGAAAAAGTGTAGTTATAGACAATACTAATCCTGACAAAGTTTCGAGAGAGAGATATATGGAGGTAGCCAAGAAGTGCAACGTTCCGGTCAGATGTTTTGTCATGACGACAAGTCTAGAACACGCTAAACATAATAATAAGGTAATAATCGGAAATCAACTATCATCGTACGAAGGAATGTTCGGAAAGTCTTTAGTCGAATTATTGCATTGCAGTTTCGCGATTTGACTGATCCAAGCCACGTTCCAATCAACGACATTATTATACACTCTTATATGTAAGTGAAATTTAGATATATATATATTCTCATGCATTTTCCTAAAATTCTGTATTATGATCATAGTTTTGAGTTTTCTTTCATTAGGACGCAGAGTTTTCTCTATTTATTGCCAAACTATTAGAACTTAATTGGAAACATAAGAAAAGTAAACAATAGATAAGATAGTTTGATTTTGATAAAAAAAAGATTTGTCACTCGATTAACACGTTTAAGACTCTTAGGCCCGATTACACCAACGTTACTTTGATTTTAAGTGAGGCTTAAAACTCTCTCTGTCTCTGTCTCTTTTTTTCTGTAAAATGAGACAGAGCGAGTTTTAAGTTTCGCTTAAAGTCAAAGTAACGTTGGTGCAATCGGACTTTAATCAGTTAGTGCGCCATATTGGAACGTGATGTCATGAGCGAGAAATGACACGTTGAAGTTTCTTACATGCTATTTGTACCTAAAAGAGAAAGAATTCGGATAAAATAAAATAATAAAATTGCCTTAAAACATATTAAATACTTATAAAAAATGGACCGAAACTATCCTTGTCTTCCTCCTTTCAACAATCGGTAAATAATCGTAAAAAGTACATGAAGTGAAAATATGTATAAATAAGCTTTGAAGATTATTTTCTGACTGTCAGAAGGGATAAGGATCGTTTCGATCCATTTGTACGAGTGTTTTAAAACGAGCTTATTATTTTATTTTATCTAAATTCTCTGTCTATATAAATGACGTTAAGAAACTTGTTATTTCTCGTTTACGATATCACGATATCAACATAGCTGCTAGTTCAGGAGTCTAATTATTAGATACAATATCAAAATTTTCGTATTCTGTGTACAGGAAAAATTATGAACCGCCAACTTTGGGAGAAGGTTTTAAGGAAATAGTGGAAATCAACTTTGTTCCGAATTTCTGTAATGAGCAGGATCGAAGGCTCTATGAGATGTATTTACTCGAAAATTAAATCCTCTAGATTAGTTAAAAGTACTTAAACAAATAAATCTTGCATGATATAAATTGAAATCCGCCGCCGAATCTATTTTTAATTAATATAGTAACACACTAGCAATAAAAATATTTATTAGATTATTCATTGCGGTTTATTTCAACTACCTATAATCAATTATTTATTTGATTATTTATTTATTTAATACAGGATGCCTATAGAATGTCTCAGAGAAAATGAATTTCACAGAAAATGAATTATTATTTTATGCGACTCTACAAATTCATAGTATATAAGTCTTTATTTTTAATGGTTCGCGAAAAAATAATTAATTTTTAAATTTTAAGGAATAATTTCACGTATATTTATTTATTTCCGTCAGGTTTGGGACATCTTGTTTAAACTTACTTTTCTGTGTAAATTATTAATTTATTGATGATTATAGAGTTCTTTTTATTTGATACAACTACGTTCGATATCGACTCAGATATATAGATGTTTAATTATCATAATATGACTACTGGCTACGACCTTCTCAATTAAAAAAATGTTAACTAACATAGAATGCCAGAAGTTTGGCATTCTATTACATATTACAAGTTGTTGATAAGAATACTGTAGGAAGAGAGAAGAGAGAGAGGAGCAGTTAAATTTTATATTCGATGAAGGTCACTGTTCTTTATCTGTAAACAGCAGGACTTTCTTCGAACCGGGGTTAAATCCTCGACCCCAGTAGAGGGTTTTCCCCCTCTCATTTTTCAATCGCAATTGTTAGGCATCCCCTAGTTCTTCGATAGAACGGTTGATTATGCCACGTGATGTAGCAAGAATAGTGCGACGCTCATTGCGGACTCAGTGCCCGCGCAGACGTCGTCGCGACGAGTCGTCTTCCTCGCTGTTCTGTTGTACGTGTGTATGCGTGCGATCTTGTGCGTGATGAATTTGTGAGCAGGAGCAAGGTGAAAAATCCACTCGCATGTGTGACGAGGAAGAATAAAGTGAGTACAACACAAGCTTAAACAGGGAATTCAACCGGTCGAGCAACATCTGCGGTGCTTGAGAATGATGAGGTGGATCAGTCCCTATTATTAATTCTCAATTTCCGTGGAGTCTTCCAAAAATAATTCTGTCATTTCTTGCCTTACTACTCCGGCACATTTCTCCTCTATGAATCGCGGAGTAATGATTCAGAGCGTACTTTATATTATATACGGTATACATTATATACGGTATACCCAATCATGATATAAATTTAATAAAATATATAAACCATTCTAAATCATTGCACTATAAATCTTAATTGCATAAAATGTGTATAAATTTAATTATTATAGACTTTTATAATGCAGTTTTACATATTTATGCCTATATATGAAATTATTAAACTTTGAAAACGAATTTTAATAAGAAACAGATATTTATTTACCAGAAGATCCGAATTCGTAATTTGTTAGTATTTCTCGCCGCTATATGTTAGATTATATGACGATCTTTCTTTTCTAAATAAATAACTTTTCTTTCTTCTTTGATACTCTTAAATCTCAATACGGTTTTAATTATGATGCAAAAATAAATGAGGAAGGATAATTTAAAACATTTTGTTTCTTTACTTTTTATACTTGGAGAGGTTTGGAGAAATCAACTCTAAATTTTTTTAGGAAATTATATTCTTAAGAAATGAAGCGCTTAATACATATTATCTATCTCCATCTATTGATCTTTAACATAATAAATAATATCTATAGTTAACAGAAATATTTAAAAAATTATTTTCTTTTTTTACAAAATAAAGTAACCAATTATTATTATTGTCAGAATGATTAACATTACTATAATAGTTTCTTTTAATATTAATTAATATTACTATTATTATTATTCATTTTACTATTGTTCCTATTACTATTGCGATTAAAATTGACAGAAATTATATGCAAATTATGGAATTGTTTGAGCATTAAAGATCTAGTTTGACTGTTTAGTACTCTTATTTCTGATTTGTTGTATAACGTTACTATTGTTACTATTGTTATTGCTGTTATATCGATTGGAAAATGTGAAACACCTGGTTTGGAACAGCCGGCATATTAATTATGCTTGTACGCATAGTCATTGTTCGAGCGTAGCTCGTTTCTGCTTGGTATCTTTCGTTCATTGCGTATTTTACGTCATGACAAGATTACGTCACGAGACAAGTCATTTTGCAAATGATATTCATGCTCGTCACAATACATCTTGAACACGTCATTGTCCACCGAGTGTCTCAAAATATCCTACGCGATGCACGCCAACACCAGAAGGAGGAATGCTCACATTGTATTGATATTAAGCTTCTTTGGCATTTTATAATATTAAAATGCTTAACATTATGAAAACAATTGGATATTTTTATTTGAATGTTTTAATTTATATTTAAATTCATACACCATTTCTGAATTGCAAAAGCTTTGACCATGATGACTGAATAAATTAAAAAGATGATCAAATAAATTATAGAAGTGAATAAGTTAAGTTGAGAAATACTTGAAGATATAATTCTATTAATTCAAATATATATTTTAATCAATAACTCTCTCTTACGAAAAATAAGATTGTCTTTATAATAATAATTTAAAATAATGTTAATAAAGTTTTAATATTTTTGACGCACATGAATTTTTCTGTGTCGTGCATCTGAGAAAATTATTTAGAAAATTATATAGCATGAAAAGAAAAACAA